GCCAAGGGCAGCCGGGCTGATGGCCGAGTGCTGTGATGTGCCAAGTGTGGGCATTCAGGGCACTCCAAGCCAGGACTGCTTTGCTATCCCTCATTGAGTTAGATGAGTGAGCGGGGAACCCCTGAGAACTGTCTGTCCGGGGTGGGGGTCGGGTCCCTTTAAGCACAGCCCTCGGCTAGCCTGAGACAGCAGCTCCACGCTCTAAGTCCTCCTCTAATGCCCTGCCGGCACTGCTTCCGGCCAGCCTTAACCTCGATTCAGGGTCCACTCAATGTGGACATGCTAGTTCGAATTAGCAAAATGCTAATTTGAACTAGTTTTTAGGCCTAGATGCACTAGTTCGAATTAGCTTAGTTCGAATTAACTAATTTGAATTAAGTTAGTTTGAATTAGTGCTGTAGTGTGGACATACCCTCACTCTGGGGCATGTGGCATTGGCCACTGTTGGAAGACAGGATACTGGGCTAGACAGCCCATTGGTCTGATCAAATCTGGGTATTCTGATGTTCTTAGAGAAAAAGATTTTTACCTGCATTTGAACGCATAGAACCATCATTCAGATATCACATGATTCAGACTCTGGAACAGGAAACAATGCCATGGAACAATGGAAAGGTCGTTTGAAACATGTCACAATGTGGAGGTAGACGGTAAAGAAAACTCTCCCAGTGACTATGAAATCAGCATGGAGGAAAATGTCACCAACCCTGATATTGTGAGAGTTGATCAAGATGTAAATTGTTCCGAACCAGAGACCGGTCTTGGAGCTGTCATTAATAATGCTTTTCCAATAAGCATAACAGAGCAGTTGTTAGATCGTATCAGACAGCGAACTCATTGTGTTGACATGAATATGAAGAAAAAATATTGTAGGCCACTCAATGCATGGATTAATGAATTGGCTAGAGGACAGAAACAGATACAACCCATAGGATCTGTGTGTAACAAGCCTGCAGTAGTTGCCTTACACAATGGTCCTCCAACGGGCAGCAGAAAAACACACTCGCCTTTCAGACAAGGCAGAAAATACACAGCGGGACACACATGGGCAGATCCACATCTGCCCTTTGCAGGCAGCAGAGCATGGAACTAGTGAAAGAGGCTTCAGGGCAGGGTGACCTGAAAATGATCTGTCCTGTGATCAGCACGTTGGCTCGCAAACTCAGCCCTGTGCGGAGCACTGGTACGAGGCTGACACGCCAGTTCAGCGATGTTGCAGTGAGAAGAGCTTTTGCATTGGGCTGTGTTTCACCCTGGAGACAGACATGGGTTGAGGTGACAGTTTAGTATTTTTATCAAATGACCTACCCTTTAATAAACATGATTGGCATGTCTAGAGAGCTCATTAGAATGGCCAGACTTGGTCAGAACAAAGGTCCATCTAGCCCAGTATCCTGTCTGCCGACAGTGGCCAGTGCCAGATGCCCCAGAGGGAGTGAACAGAACAAGGAATCTTCACACGATCCCTGCCATGCAGACACTGACAAACGAAGGCTAGGGACACTATTTGTACCCATCCTGGCTAAAAATCCTGACGCGCGCCAGAATGAATGAAGAACTGCCTTTGCAGTGACATCAACTCAACTGCGCATTCAGAGGGTGACCAGCAGGGCACAAGATAATCCTGAGGTGAGGGAAAGAAAACTCCCCACACTCCTCCTCAGTTTAGTACTGTGTAATTAAATCCAGCATGTGTGTTAGGGGCAGAGAGGTAAGATGGGCCTTCTTGTGGAATAGCAGCTACAGGCCCCATCAGACCAGCATACCAGGCTTCTGGGACAATTTATTTGCACAGGCCAGGGAGAAAGCTGCTATGTTCTGACCACAGACAACAGTGCAGCTGAGAGAGGCTGAACAGTCTCTTCAAAATGATGTAATATCTAACATTACAGGTGCTTAAAAACAGATCATTAGAAGCATCAGGGTACATAGGTGACAGGCCGGCCAACACTGGGTTTATCAAAGCTGAGGGAAACTGGCCATTATTGGTCTCAGAGGGGGACCTGTTTTAGCCTGAACCTGCAAAAACAATGGGCAGTCTTGTGGCACCTTAGAGACTCACAGATTTATTAGGGCAGAAGCTTCCATGGATAAAACCCACTTCATCAGGTGAATTGGAGTGGAAGTGATAGAAGCAGGGGATATAAGGAAGAAGTTGTCTCTCTTTGTAATCAGGTTTTGAAATTCTTTAGTAGAAGGATGGAAACTTTCAAATCCACTGCTGTGTGGAGGGAGGTTAAAGTGTTCCCCCTGCAGGTCTGTGTGCGTTACCTTTCCTGATGTCTGATTTGTGTCCATTTATCCTCTCTCACGGAGACAGTCCAGTTTGGTCAATGTACATGACAGAGGAGCATTGCTGCCACTTGATTTCAAAACCTGATTACAAGGGGATTTCCATTTCCAATTCAACACTATCAAAGGCAGTTAACACAAAGGCAATTTCTCCCCCTATCCCCCCGTCATTCACATTTCCTCACCAAATGCTGTGAATGACCCACTTCAACCCTAACATGATTAGCCTCATTAAGATAAGCAACTTCTTCCTTATGTATACCCCTGCTTTTGTCACTTCCACTCCAATTCATCTGATGAAGTGGATTTTTTCCCATGAAAGCTCATGTCCTAATAAATCTGTCTGTCTCTAAGGGCATGTCTATACTAAGAAATTATTCCAAAACAACTAAATTTGAAATAATAACTCCCAACATAATAAAATTAAAATAGCATGTCCTCTCTATGGGGGAGGCTTGAAATTAGTCCAAGGTCGGCTTCGTTAATGTGGATGTGCTACCTCAACTTAGCACCCCAGGAAGCACTGGGGAGTAATTACTTCAAATTACTCTGGGGAGTTATTATTTTGAAATAACAGCAGTGGAGCATCCACACTACCACTACTTCAAAATAACTATTTGGAAATAAGATTATTCCCCAAGGAAAGCAGGGATACAGAATTCAAAGTAACCAGCCCCTTCGAAATAACAGGTTTGATAGTGTGGATGCTCCGTTTATTATTTTGAAATAAGGGGGGTTATTTTGAAATAACTCCTTATTGTAGACCAAGGCTAAGGTGCCACAGGATTCCTCATTGTTTGGGTTGCTAATAGTAAGCAATCAGCCTGTAATGTGAGACCTTAACAGAGACTGAAAACGCCAGGACATTTTGATATGTTTCAGGGCACTATTGAGCAGCATATGACAGCTTTTTCACACTAGCTACTGCCCATTATCAGGAGGCATGTTACTCACAAGATAAAAGTACAAAGTTCAACTTCCTCCTTCCAAAAAGGAAGTGCTGACCTCAGGATTTACAACAGACTTCCACTGAGAACAGATTAGCTCCAAGAAGAGTTATATGTAAAGTGCTGGCTCTCTGCAGACGCTTTGCTCTGCGCCTCTGCAGCGCTCTCTTTGATTGCTATTGCAATTGGCTCGGCTCACTCGGAGATGGGCTCAGCTCACTTGAAAGCAGGACTTGCTTAGGGAATTCACACAGAGCTGTTCAGCCATTAATCATCCGTGCTTAAAAAATTCACTGACTCTGTGAGGTAAATGTGGGAGAGCCTCCCCTTCAGAAAGGAGTTATGGCAAAGACAGAACGCTGGCAGCTCTTCTGCAAGGTTTGGGGTGTGTTAAACGTTGAACATAATATGAACAGAGTGGTTGGATTGAATGACAGACTGAAAAATGACAGGCCCAAAATGTACAGCACAAGCACATGCTCCCCTCTCCAAATCAGAACCCCATTGTGATCACCCAGAGCACCACAACATTGTGAGGATGTACAGAACTATCCCTACCTTTAGGCAACACACATAGCCACATAGGGCACCGTAACATTCAGGGCTCCAAATTGTGCCAAATTTCATGGTGCCCTAGGCAGCCACGTGCTGCCTATAGGTTCCAGCAACCCTCAAACCCGTACCCCGGCTGCCCTTCAGGGTGCCGCACTCAACCCCCGCTCACCAGGCAGAGACGAGCGGCCCATGTGGGCTGGTGGACCGAGCAGTGGGCAGCTAGAGAGAAGTGGTGCTTTCCCTTTACAAGTGCCACTTCTCTCTGACCAGCTGCACGGCCACCTGCTGCTTCTCTGGCTTGCACCTCCCTCCTAGCCCTACTTCTGGTTGCTGGCTATCCTGGACCAGACAGACTGGACAGCAACACTACAGTAAACACCATCTGATGCATCCAGGCCGGGAAAGTTCACAACCTTTTTCCTACACAGCGTCAGGCCCCCCCCTCGGTGGGAGGTACTGGTGCTGGGCTGCATAGGGTACCAGCAATGGTCGGATTGGCCCTGAGTACATAGGTGCTACAGCCACAACCTCTGGCTTGAAGAGAGTTCCATCATACACAGAGTTTACAGTCTGGTTCGACGGCTCTCAGCACCTCCATATACAAATTGTTCCGGCATCCCTGCATGGTATGAGCTATAGATCCAGATTCTCCTTCCCCCTACCCCCGCCAGCTGCCCCCAGCCGGAATGCTTTGCACCCATGTCACCCTAAAGAGAATCAGGAGTATCAACCCAGCACAAGGTGAACCTATGGCTCTTCTCCACTGTGCTGGGGCTGAGGTCAAATAAAGGGAGTGTGGACAGATCAACTTGCCTTCTAACAAGCCCTAGCAGCTGTCATAAATTAGTACACCATTTAGTTTGCTCTGAGTGACTCTGTAGAACTGGCTGGGGTTCAGGCCTGGTCCAGAATTAGGGGAGCCTCAAGGTGTCTCATGCCATCTTTGCATCCCTGCCACCATGCTGTGCTGTATGCTCCTCAGGCAGATCAGTGTTTCGGAGGAACCTTTACTGCAGAATATGGAAAGGACTGTTTGAGAGCCTGCAGCAGCATCTCCCTCCATCTGTCTAAGCAGAACCAGGTAGAGCCCTAGGGGAGAGCAGCGCAGTCTGCAGGGCCTTCACAGGCTGGGGAGACTGAAACAAA